TTGAATATACTTTAAAAAAAGATACAAAAGTTATAAAGTGAGATTTATGCATAATAGTGCGAATCCGGCCCGAATAATTCGTAGGGTAGTGAGATGGGAAGGAAAGGGTGCCGACAAAAATTAGAGCAAGGAATCAATGAATCATCAAAGAAAACACAAAAAAAATACACCCGCTCTCTTGGGGCCCACTGTTTTGAGTGAAAGAGAAGTAGACCCAATCCAAGATGGGTGTATCTGACCCGCCCGGGAAAAAGACTGGGCTTAATTCTTTTTTCGGATAGGAGGGAGCCAGCCCAATCTATAGTAAAAAGGGACTCGCAAAATTGTGAACCAGGCTAGAAGAGTTTTATGGTCAAGCTCGGGAAAATATTTTCTCTTTTATTTTTTCTACTCCCAATTTAAACAATTTTATTTTTATTAAAAAATTATTGTTACCTTTACCTTTTCATACCTTACGTATCACATTATACTTTTTCTCTAATAATCTATCTATCACATCTTACTTTTACCCATTATATCAAAAGTAAAATTAGAAGTCAACTACTCCCTCCGTCCCCCATAGATCTTCCCATTAGCCTTTTTTATTTATCCACCATAGATCTTCTCATTACCTTTTTTAACCATTAAAATACAACAACTACCCTCACTTACTTTATTTATTACTCCTCACCCACTTCATTTAATACACTTCACCCATTTTCATTAAGGGTATTATGGTAAACTTTTACCTTTTTTCAACTCTCCTTAAAAACCACAAAAAATCAAAACGAGAAGATCTTAGGTGGACGCAGAGAGTATAATTTAACATTTCATTATTTTTTCACTTGGTCGAAATTGAAAACTTTTTTTTTAGAATCGAGGGAGTAATAATAAGGTTGGACGGTGATGGGTGTATTTCACCCAAGACCGGTCAAAGGAGAAGGCCAAATCTTTGACCGGTCAATCTCGAAAGTTTTGGAAGGGAGGCTTAAATCGTCAGCAAAACGATATATCATCGGCCAAAATATGACCGGTACACTTCACAAAAGAGTATACCGGTCAAACTACGTTATCATCCTATTTATTCCAGACTTCGATCAATTCACCCCTCGGAGATTACCCGATGTAGTTTCTGGGGTTGGAAAGTGTCGGCAGAAGAGGATCTGCGAGGGCTTGGCGTGTAGCGACCCGTGTCAGTAGAGGACAACTGGAGATGCTGAAGAATCCATCCAAGGCACTACTCGACAAAGGGAATGATCCCCCTCACAAGGCGACAAGGCAGCTCGAGGACGAAACCAGTCACCTCGCACCACATCAGCAGCATGCCCCCACGTGGGCGCACGTGGCCCTGTCTCCTTAGCCTAGTATAAATACTCATGTAAACCTCAGAAAGGGGGATCCGAATTCATTCTCTCTAAACTCCCTTGTAAAAGCACCCGTGCATTCTCCGTTATAATATAAATCGGGCTACAGGTGTTCCACCTAAAGTCCTACCGGTCAATTTGCGTGTTTTTACCCTTTTTACTTTGCCAAATCAAGCAAACTATTCTAGACCCGGTCTAGTATAGTTTGACCGGTCAAGTAATTTACACCATCAGACGGTATGACTAAAGTAAACATAATTTTGTACCAAATTCAGTCTATGTGGCATTTGGCATACATGGGTAATATTCCCGCTTGTGTAATGGTACAATAAGGTAGTTTATTAAACTCTACGAAGATTCAAACTCAAACTATTAATTTATAATAGATAGGATTTTAATACACATTTTAAATTTATTTTATATTATTGGTTGGAGTTAATTTTTTTAAAAAATATTTTAAAATTAATTTACATTATTGATTTAGTTAATTATAAAAAATATTGGTAAACTTTGAAACCAAATTAAATAAAAATGATGTTAGATATTAATAAAAATAGTTTTATTAGATTTATTATATAAAATATTTTCAAAATATTATTTACCCAATCAATATACAATATATATTTTATTTAATTATAGGTCAAAGATTGAAAATAGTTACTAAAATGTTAAAAACTTGACAAACGAAGGTAGTATATTCTTATGATATTACTTCTCCTGCCACCTCACTTGCTTAGTCTTTGTTTGAATGAAGGGAAATTTGAAATGAAATAAAATGAATAGAGAGAAAACAAATGTTCTAAAACATTTTCTTTTGTTTAGTTAGAAAAGAAAAAAAATTCTGAACATGAATTTTTTTTACTCTCCATCATAGAAGAGAAAAGGTGCATGGGTGATTGGATAGCCTATTGGAGGCTTCTCCCAATTGGTTTCATTGCTTCTACCGGATCCTCTCCGAGCAACCAAATCCTCCGCTAACCGCCATTCAACAGATGCTAGCCATACTTTCATCCAATTACTTAGTGTAGTATGATTTCCCCATGCCAGATCTTCCAAACAACTTATAGAGTAAGTGATTGGCCTAAATGATTAATTAAATTTAAAACTGATATGTGCAAGATAGTTTCCTCTAAAAACAGAGAAAAGGAGAAAAACATTTTGGACGGGAATAAGTTTCACTACCAGGTTGCTTAGACATGGTAACACTGTTAGTTCCATGATGTTGGCTAATCTTTTGGCAAAATAGAATCCCATATTTGTTAGGTGTTTTACTAGGTAGAAACCTCTATTTGTTAGGAGAGGTTTATTTTATTTAGACTTCTAGAGTAGCTGCAGTTTTCGATGTTGACACAGAAGATGCTACAACACAATGCTGCAACACAGTGTGCGGGATCAGAGGTCTGAGCACGTGATTTTAAGATGCAATCTGAATTAGAGACCTATTGGGATTGTGATTACATGATAATAACTTCAGCTATACATGCTAAGGAATCCCAACACTTTAAGCTACTTGTGGATCAAGATTAAGAAAGTTGAGTTCAAGCCAACTTCTACTATCCTATTCCTACTAGGATTGTGTTATGAGAAGCCTATAAAAATGCAGCAGCTCCCTGGGAATTACTTGGAGCGATTGAGAGGGAAAACAAAGAATATACGCTGATGTAGAGCATTCCCGTCACGTCTCAGAGCTTCCCATGCGTGAAGAAAGATACGATCTACATGAAGGAGTCCTACAACGAAAAATAGATCGTGACAACCAAGAGATGGACAAGAGCTTAAGGAGAGGGCTGCCAACACGTTTGTCCTCGTGATCTCGGTAGAGATGTGATAGCCGAAGCGGATATGAACAGAGTTCGGGTTAGAAATCCTAGATTAGAAGTTTTGTCATAACAATTCGGAGAAGTGTGTCTCATCATGTTGTTATGTACAGGTGTAACTTGCATCTAGTGATTTAGTGGAGGGCTATTCACGGACGTGGGCCCCGCAGACTAGGAGAGTTTCTCCGAACTGCTTAAACATATCTGGCGTTATTTTTACGCATTTTATAGTTACAGCATTCTACCCAGTAGGCGCTGTGACACCCTCTGCATCATCTGCTTCTGTGTGTGCTTGTGACAGAGAAGTGTTGTAGCACACTGTCTGTCATCTGTTACTGTGACAGTGCTGCAGTATCTTCTCTACAGCATAGTTGTTTGATTTGTTTGCATAGCTCTTAATTGGTGATTTCCGCTGCGCCCCCATGAACTTTCAAACACATTATTCACTATTGAATAATGGAAAAGTTATATTTTACAAGATAATAAAGAATACATAGTAGAGTATATAAAGAGGGGGAGTACGATCCAAACTAGAACTAGAGAACAATAACAGAAGCTGACTAAAACCCAAAGTCTACCATAAATAATATTGACTACAACTAATTATCTAACGTCCCCCCTCAAGCTGGATGTTGTTTCACAAACGGAAGCTTGGAAACAAGAGCTTGGTAGCATGGCTTAGGCAATGACTTGGTTAGCAGATTGGCAAACTGATCTTCAAAAAAGATATGAGACACACTCATAGTGCCAAAAATAACTTGTTCACGAACAAAGCGACAATCAGTGCCCACATGCTTCATATGCTTATGAAAGACTGCATTCTTCGTTAGACATATAATAGATTGGTTATATATCACAAAAGAGCTGGGAGAGGCAAAATTGGTATACACATGTCATCAAGAATATAAGTGAGATACATAACTTCAAAGGCCATAGAGGAGAGAGCTCGATACTCAGGTTCGGGAGAGGATTTGGACACCTGAGTCTACTTTTTTGTGCTCCACGATATTAGGTTCAGTCCAAGATAGACAAGATAGCCTGTAACGCCCTAAAAGTCGGCTTAGTAGTTATCCATTATTTTGAGAAAAATAAATACAATATTTTATTTTATGACTAAAAATTATGAACTATTTGTAAATTCACACCTTATAATCTCGCAAAAACTAAAAATGTTATGAGTGGAATACTTTTTACAATTCAATAAATGAATATAAAGATTTTATAAGATAATAATAATATTAATTTTCTAAATTTAAACTCCTAAAATAACCCGTCAGAAACAGGCCCCCCAAATCCCATATTACACACACACACACACATACTTACAACTATGATATTAAATCTTTTTTGCCGCTGATGATGAGGATATATAATGGAGACCAATTCACATCAATCAGTTCACACTAAAGGAAGCATACGGAAAACAAAACAAGCAATCCAAGCACATGAAGAAGGAGAGGAAAACCAAGACATGGAAATCATATGGAAAACAAAACAAATACCTAAAATTGTTTTTTTTCCGTGGAGAATCTACTTTAACCTATTACCCTTTCCCACAGCATTAACAAAATTTGGGATTGAATCTTTGCCAACTCTATGCCCAATATGCAAGGAGAATGAAGACTCGGGACTTCACACTTTGATTCAGTGCCCCTATGCACGTACGAAGCATCTGGAACCACTTTGAATGAATCTTCAAAATTCCATGCCAAACAATGCATGGAGTGAGAGCTCACCTACAACGATGGTGGAGCAAGAACAATCTCAAGACACTTAAGATTGGACCAAATGTGTCCTATCGGGGATCATACTTCATCAAATCTAGAAGGAGAGAAATATTTGTCTAAATGAAAACACTACGAAGGAAAAGAAAAAATTAATTTAGGACTGTATAAGGCAGTTTTTATCTTGGGTTTTAGGGAGAGCACCTAGTAAGCTTATGAGGTATGGCGCCAGGTGTCTTCGCACAGATCTCTCCCATTCAGATCGGCACCCATAAGATCAAAATCCATCATTGGAAGCAAGCACCAAAAGATTGTCTACATCTTTCAACACATGTATCATTCAGGAGCTCAAAGATGATATGGGAGCTATCCTACGCATCATTCATGGAAACTATGTGGGAGCTAGCACATGGAGCATCAAAGCAAGCAGTATCTAGGAAGGAGAAGCATGGACTTTACTTCATGGACTAAATTGGGCCAAATGCTTCTCCAACAAGATTTGGGCACACACAGACTCAGAGACTACCACAAAAGCAATGCATGGAAACAAAAACCCGAGAGTTAATCTAGAGGTATGGATAGGTGTTCAACAAGAAATCTAATACCCCATATTAAGTTGGGAAAGAAAAAGGCTCAAAAGGATTGATAGTACTACTCATACCAACAAGGTGCATCTTCTTTTCGAGAGCTCATCATCTAGAAACTCCAAAGTTAAGCGTGCTTGACCTGGAGCAATTTTAGGATGGGTGACCCCTTGGGAAATTCCTTGGGCGCGCACGAGTGAGGACAAAGTGCGCGGGAAAGACTTGTGTTGGTTTATGGGGCTAGTCTACAATTCTATGAGCGGACACTTACGGCCAGGGTGGGGGCCGGGGTGTTACAAGAAATCCAAGAAGATGGAAAGAATCTACATCACATTTATAGAGAAGGAAATATGGGAGTACATAATCTAGCCAAATGGGCTAGCAAAAAAATTTATTCTCACTGTATTTCACTTTCATCTATTCCCCCTTCTGTTAAGGGAGTCATTATGGCGGATGTAACCCTCCCTTTTCTACGTTATTAAATCAATAAAAATCTTCTCTTATACACACACACCTACACGCACATAGTTGCGGTAGAAACAAGTACGGAGTAATACCACCAACGAAAAAGGAGCAGGACCGTACAAAGTCTAACTGAGGGAAGAAGAAAAAATCTCGCCGCTGCACCATCATGTCCGCCACCTCTATTTCACCATCGTGTTTTCGGCCGTCCCTCCCGCTCGTTTGTTAATTCATTGAATTTTTTTAATTCATCTAATAATCAAAGAGAGTACATGTACATCTAATGCTAAGATATAGATATAGGTTTGAAATTTATGTTCATGATTATTACTATGGTTGAGTTATGTGTGTATTTGATTGAATTGTATGACATGCATATGTGAAACTAAATAACATTATGGTTTGAGCTTGAGATCTTTGGATTGATTAAATCTTAGGTCGTAGTAGTTTGATTACATTAAAGTGGTAGTTTTTAATGTACTAAAACGATGTATGCATGACAAGGGAAGTTTGGTAATGAATTTGGTAAGTTTTGGTGTTGAAAATCTCCCGTCATAGACGGATCAAGGTTGAAGACGATGAACTATTCGAATAGGTAGGTAGCTATTTGAATATCTCGTCACTTTAAAATAGACATTCTATGACGAATGATTCGAATATGTGTCAACTTATTAGAATATGTAAGGTTGTCTCATTCTGAACGATTCGAATAGGTGACGGTCTATTGGAATAGGTAAGATTTTCTGATGCTGAAATGTTGAAATAGGTGATAGCCTATTAGAATTGGTAAGGTTGCTTGATGGTAAACTATTGAAATATGTGTTGGCATATTCGAATAGGTAAACCTAGTAACAGCCCAGATCATAATCAAGGGCCTTGTGTGCTGCATGACAGTAAGTGGAAGGTGTTTACACCCAACACTAGGTTGCTATTTGTACTATGTGATGATTTACCTAATTAATGTATCTTCTTGTTCTATTATAAAATATAATCTTGATGTGTCTTGTATATGTATAATGAACTAAGATTGTTGTTGGTATGAACTTAATTATGTAAGAATGTTGTAAATAAATAATATAGGCTACTTAGAAGAACTCTAAGGTTGACCCTAGTAAAATGGAAACATGTGTTGTCAATATAGCTAGGTTGTAAGCCTTGTGGGTCTTATACCTAATGGCTTTGGGTAAAAATGTACATACGGGAAACTAAGTACTATTGTTCTAAAGGGGGCAGGGGTTCCACCCGCCACATTGAGATCCTCGTTGGTTAGAGCGTGACTTTATTCTGAAGGGTAGAGAAGAGCAAAAGGATCGATACAGTCAAGCTAGACCGGTCTTTAGAAAAGAAACTGCAGCAAAGGACTAGTCTGGACTAGTCTTTTTAAAAAACTGGACCTAACTAGTCCGGTCTTCTTAATAGAATTAAAGACCAAATAAAGACCACAAGTCCAATCTAGTCTTTGGGTAGTCCAATCTTGTCTGGACCGTGGTCCCAAAATATTTTACACCCCTCCAATCTTTCCACATCCCTAGGGTTGTAAAACGAATGAATCGAATACTACGAAATTTTATTCATATTTGAAAAATGATACCATTATTCATATTCATATTCATTTTTTATTCGAATAATTATTACTATTTTATTCGATTCGTTACTAAATTCAAATATTCGGTTCGTATTCGTATTCTATTATAAAATATAAATTTTGAAATTTTTTTACGTTTTATAGTTTCAAAAATTATAACTTCATAAACCAATCACATACTTTGTATTGAAAATCACATACTTTGTATTGAATTTTTTTTTACGTTTTATAATAAGCCGCCCCTTGCTCTCCTCTACGTCTTTATCGTTCTTTTTTTAGGTTTGTGGGGATTGGGGAAGTGGGGAACTTTAATTTGGTAGGGTACTAAAATTTTATTTTTTTTAATTTTGGGCCCAAATACTTTTAAGTTTACAAAAACTACCCCATTCTTAAAAAGAGGGATACAAAGATGCCCCACTCAAAGCACCTTAGACACACTCTATATATTATGTTCTATATTTATTATGAAACAAATATATTAAGTATAAATTTTTATATTTGAATTCGAATATATTCGTTAACATATCGAATCAATTACTTATATATTTGTATTTGTATTCATGTTCTTTCGAATTTTATTAAATATTTATATTCATAATGTATTCATTTTTTCGAATACGAATCATCAATTTCGAATATGAATCACGAATCGAATCAAAATGATTCGTTTGTTTTACAACCCTACACATCCCTTTAAAAAATTCTTTCCCCATCATCCTTCCATCCTCATCACCATCTTCGCTCAGCTCTTCAAATCAAGCTCAGGTATTTTTAAATTAAACTTCCTCCAAAATCCAAATTTCTAAATTTTAGGCTTTCTAAGCTTTTTTTTGGATCTAAAGCTTTGCAATTAAAATTTTTGATTCTTTTCAAAGTTCCTTTACATTTTTGCAATTCAATTGCTGAAGCTTTCATTTTTTTCCCCTTTATTCTGCCAAAGCTCCTTTAATTTTTTGCTTTTACCCTTCAAGCTCATTTTTTCTTCAAATCTTCAATATTTGAAGCTTTCAAAGCTTTTATTCTATAAAAATCCTTCATTTTTAAAACAAATTTTAATTTTTAAGTTGTTATTTTTTGAAAAGCTTTGATTTTTGTTTTGTTGAATTCAAATTGAAGAATAAACCTTCATAAAATCTGCTAGTAATAAAAAGTGCTTAGTAACAAAAATGTCTAAGTAACAAAAACTAAGGCATAAAGCCAAGCATTGTTGTTCCAAAAATTGCTAAGTAATGAAAAGGATAAAAAAAGTAAGTTGCTCCATATTCATTGCCTTGGGTTATGTTACACTTGAAATATTGAAGGCCTGAATGTACGTCAAAATTTACTCCACATAATAGTTATGAGTTAGGAGAATTCATAAACTTAAACATGTACTTCATGTACAAAGATAAATTGATGTTTGAATATACCTCAAGTGTTTAGTGTTCAATGAAGTTTTCTGCTTCTTCGGTGTCTGTGAGTTCTTCAAGGAAGATTGGATTTTTTTCACCACCATTTTCTTTTTCCAAATCCATCGGGTCTTGTGTCCAATCAAAAGAATCCAAATAATCTTTATAGCAATGCATACTATATGGCCCCATTCGAAATAATCTTTAGAGCAATGCATACTATATGAATCCAAATAATCTTTATAGCAATGCATACTATCCAAATAATCTTTATAGCAATGCATACTATATGTAATTGGCCCCATTCGACTTTATCACTTAGTTAGAACTCTTCCACTAAGAGAAAACACACATCTAAAGAAATAAAGGTTGCTTGGATTGTAAGTAGATCGCGAGCTATACCAGCCACAATTGGATAGTCACTGCTTTTCTTTTTCTAGAATTCCAACACATTGAATTGCATGCGGTTTTCTATAGGAAAGTATGTGTTTGAGTAATTCTACATCGGTGGGGTTCTAGTGACACTGGAGTACGGTGCCACTCCGATGCCACTGGCATTTTGGGGCACCTCCAGTGCTCCGTTCGCAAAATTGACGGTTCCTACCCCCCCTAACCCACCTCCTAAACCCCTCACCCTACCCCTGCCTCTGCACCCCCACCCCCACCCCGCCGTAAGCCCCCCACAAAATGTGTGGCTATTATGCAACACATAATAGCCACACATTTTGTGGGGGGCTTACGGCGGGGTGGGGGTGCAGAGGCAGGGGTAGGGTGGGGGGGTTTAGGGGGTGGGTTAGGGGGATAAGAACCGTCAATTTTGCGAACGGAGCACTAGAGGTGCCCCAAAATGCCAGTGGCACCGCTAGTGGCACCGTACTCCGGTGTCACTAGAACCCCACTGATTCTACATATATGTGTTTGAGTAATTCTCAATGTCATTGGTGCCTGATTCTAAAATAGCATCTTCAATATCTATTCCCATTGTCGTGTAGTCACGAGTAAGACCATTCATTTCAGAATAATATTTATACAATTGTTCAACAACATCTGTATATGTTTGCAGGTCCACTTTTGTTCCAAAGTTTTCCAGTAATGCTCTCCGCAATACCTTCAGCCCTAAAACCTTTGTATGGGAGTTGAAAAATATCAGCACAATAGAAAACTATATGAATGTTTTTAGAATACTTCAACCATTCCTCTTGTATCTTAAGTATAAGAGGCTGCCAACAAGCATCATCCATATATGTCTTCATCATTATAGATATCAATAAAAATTGGCCAAGAGCTAAATGAGAAGTATGATAGTAAGTTCCTGATAAGACCTTTGTAACATCATAAAACACCTTAAGAATCTTGAGTAAAGTCTTTATGTCCTTCCATTCATCTACCGTGATGTCATTCGTTGACACGATAGAATAAAATCCTATAAATACATCCTTTTGTTCAATTATCCTAGATAGCATGGTGTATATTGAATTCCATCTGACAGGCATGTCCATTTCTGGAATAACAAATTTCTTACCTAATGCTGCCACATACTTTTTATAATCATCCTTATTTCTTCTATCTCTGGAAATGCATGACAACATTTGCCTTATCTTGGTAGTTGTCTCTTTCTTATATTCCAAACCATCGTGTACATCTAGATTGATAATATGACATGCACACCTTGTATGATAGAACATACCTTTTAAAACAGAACTCATTTCAGGCTTTAAAAAGGCATTGCTTTGGTGTTGTTTGATGTAGTATCAAGTGTAACACTCAACACTTTGCCCTGTAAGTTGTAAAACTGAATCTCTTTGTTCCAAAATCTTGCAAGGACATTGTGGGAGTCTGTATATGAAAATATTTCAAAAGAGAGTCTCTATTTGTTCATGATCCAAGCATCACCAACCCAATGACATGTTAAACATATATAAAGCACCGAAACATGTAATTATTTGTCCATACATCACTAGTTAGGCTAACCATGTCTTTGAAAGCTAAAAGGTTCTCTTTTAGCTGATTTTTTGTTTTCTTCCATGCAATGATTGCATCACGTGTTAATGTGAATCTTGATACCTGCAATATACATAAATAAATAATTATACTATTATTATTATTATTAGAATCTCACCAGTTTGTAAAGGGGTTATAGACTTATACACATGTAGCGGGTCATTTGTTTATTATCAAAAGAGTTGAATGACAATGACCTCTGGACTACCAACTTCAATTGATTTTCTTTGTTTTTCCTGGTAATATTCCCACACTTGACCAGATTGTGTTAGCATGGCTTGTCTTGCTTGTGGTGATATTTTCTTCATACAACTTTTCTTATGCCTCTCTAACGATGCATTTTCCCCTCTCAAAAAAGATTTGCACACGACACATTATGCTTGGACTACTCCATTTTTTCTAAGTGTATAAGTTCTATTAACACATTGTGCTGAGAAGTATTAGTCATCTTTAATTTGCATTACTTTGTATTATATTTTAAAATTTATATAAGTGCTACATAGTATTATACTGCTTAATTTACAAGTAATAACTAGCCTTGGGAGGATTGGTCTTTTGGACTAGTCCTAGTCTTTAGACCAATCTTTTACTAATCTCGGACGGTTCGGGTCCTCAACATGTCTTTAAATTACTAATCTTGGACTAGTCCTAGCTTTCTATAAATATTAAGAAACATTTGAGACTATTGGTCTTGGACTAGACTAGTCCAAAAGACTACTTTGGTCCTAATCTTTCTAGTCCAAATCATGTTAGTGTATTTATTTATTCCGATTAGGCTCATGTCACCTGTAAAATCGGCCCATAGTTGTGCACTACTAGGATACCAAAAGGAGCAGTACCCCAAACCAACCTTGCCACACTCCACTCACAAAGAAATGGAGAAGAACAAGATGAACACACAAAGGAAGCTAAGACAACTCACATAGAGGAGAACTCACAAAGGCCTCTCTTCTTTTTGCACGGTTGAACACAAGCATACCTCATCCCCACATATAGTTGAGATTGGGGTGGTAATTAAGGCAAGCTTAACTAGGTTAAGGAATATAGGATGAGCTTGAGAAAACGGGCTACTGGGTTGGGTGTCAATCATTATTAATATGTTTGGGCCAAACCCAAATAAATTAACAATCTCCACCTTTGGCCCAAAGTAGTGTACATATTTGACAAGGAACCGTGAGCCACATCATAGCCTAATAACCACTAAATGTGTAATCAACAAATGAGAACACACGCAGTGGTGGAGAGTTCACAAAGTAGTCTCAAGTCACGAAGACTAGGGAACATCACAAAGTATGCCAAAATAACTCGCGAAGAGTCAAACTCTACCATTGGGTCATCGAGTACAAAAAATAAAAGAAAAACAAAAGTCACAAAGACAGAAAAGAACAAAAGATCAACACACAATCACAGAGATATGTTTAAAATCTTTTGACATAAGGTAAATTTTTCAACAAAAAAAGACTTAGTACTCATGTCTGCTGGATTAGACTCCGTAGGAATTTTCTCTAGAATGACAATGCCCTATTCAACTATGTCTCTAATAAAATGAAATCTAACATCAATATATTTTGTTCTATCATGAAAAACAGGATTTTTTCATAGTTGAATGGCATATTGACTATCAGAAAACATAATCACATTCGTATCAAGCAAGCATATTTCAGATAAAAGACCTTTAAGCCAAATAGCTTCTTTAAAAGAATTTATGGCTGCAACATACTCAGCCTGAGTAGTACAAAAAGCAACAATATGTTGAAGTTAAGACTTCCAACTAATTCAAGAACCACACAAAGTGAACACATAGGAAGTAGTGGATTTTCTATTATCCCTATCGTTTGCATAGTTAGAATCCACATAGCCAATCAATTTAACATTTTTATCACTTCTTGAAAAAGTTAAACCAACATTCCAAGTAGATTTCAAGTATCTCAAAAGCCATTTTAGAGCATTCTAATGAGCCATATCAAGATTAGACATGTATCTACTCAAACAGCCAACAACATAAGCAATATCAGGCCTAGTGCTAATCAAAAGATACATCACAGAACAAATAGCATTCGAATAAGGCACACTATTCAGTTCGATAATTTCAAATTTAGTTTTAGGGCACATATCCTTACTCAACACAAAGTAAGCAGCTAAAAGAACATCCACAGGTTTAGCATCAGACATAGTAAATTTACTCAAAATTTTATCAATGTAAGAATTTTGATTTAAAACAAGAGTAGATTTCTTTCTGTCCCTAACAATATTCATGCAAAGTATTTTTCTAGCATCTCCTAAATCTTTCATGTTAAAATTTTTGCAAAGATAATTTTGAACATGCTCAGTAGACTTTAAGCTAGGACTAATGATTAGCATATCATCCACATTGAGGAGAAGAAAAATGGGGACAGAGAAAGTGTTCTTAAAATACAAGCAATGATCAACATTACTTCTCTTAAAACCAAGTTTTTCATGCAATTATCAAATTTAATGTTCCATTGCCTAGGAGATTGTTTTAAACCATACAAATCCTTTTACAATAAGCACACATGATTAGACAACTTAGAATCAACAAATCCTTCAGGTTGGTGCATATAAATATTTTTGTCAAGATCACTATGCAAGAAAGAAGTAGTAACATCCATTTGTTTTAATTCCCAATTATACTGAGTAACTAAAGACAACATGATTCTAATTGTGGTGAACTTGACAACAGAAGAAAACAATTCTACATAATCTTTTCCCTCCTTTGGAGTAAATCCCTTAGCCAAGAGTCTAGCCTTAAACCTAACATTTACATGTTCTTGCTTAACTTTAAATAACCACTTACAGTCCACAAGAGAACATGTAACGCCCCAAAACATAGCCTAAAATTTATTGAATTAAATATTCAATTAATCAAATTTTGTTTGGATTAAAATAAATTATTATTGGGCTTTAGGCCGACATGGAATGTGTTTTGATATCCAATATCACAATCTGGATAAATCTCATAGAAATAAATCCAATATGTTGACTTATTATGTGATCTTGATTTGGAACCTATGTACAGATCCAAATTAAAAATAAATGAAGAATTTGTTTATGATGTGAATCTTGAAATGATTTATTGAAATAAATCATGAGAATAAATAATATGAATTAAATGTGAGAACCTTTTTGAGTAAAGGTCAATTAAATCAATTTTGACTCTGTCAAAGTCAAACATCCAAAAATATAATATCAGAAAAAGTATTATAAATAAATTTAAAAATTATATCGTTGGATAGAGTTTGACTGTCTGGTTGCAAAGGTGCAAACAGAATTCAATTCGGAGAAAGTTGGATAAAAAAGTGTACCCCTACTGGGACCAAAGTAGTCCCAATCAGGGAACAACGCCTTCTCCTCCACTCAGCTGATTCGAAATCAATTCCTATGCAACTCCTACGCAGCATGTGTTTTCTTCCTCCTCTTCTTCCCTATAAAAGAAGAACCTAACCTTCTCAATTCTCCACCAAACTGAATAAATTTAGTGTCATAATGTTCCTGAGAGTAAGGAGAGCATTCTGCAATAGTTAGTTGCCGTCGAGGTCACCGGAGCTAAGAGCAATTACCTCCGGAAGTTTTGCCAGAAAATTTACAAAACCTTCGTTAAGCTCCGAGGCAAACCCGTAGATATATTTAGTGACTAGAATGTTCATATAGATCGTTTTTACGTTCATAAACGGTCATTTGGTGGAATTTTGTGTTTGACTTATGTGAAGAACTAAGAATCATAAATGTTGAAATTGTTGTTAAAATTGCGAATTAATGATACCAAAATGATCTATGAATCTTGGAGAACATTCCTATATAGTTTAATTCAAGTTTGTAACTAAAGTGATATTTTCGAAATTGGACCCGAACGAAGGAGAACATGAACAGTGATCGAAAAACAGGCATGGTGGATCAAAAATCCTATTTTTGATACTAATCAATTATGATCAATATAAAGATGATTTTTCACAATAAAAATGATTTTTTTTGAAAAATAAAATCTTATGTAATGCATGATGGTAAGCTAGGGTGTTAACACTCAAAGCTAGGCCGCTATTTGCTATTGGATGTTATGTTGAATGATTATTATGATGAATGATTATTATGGATGATTATGATTTGATGAAGCTGCTGATTAAAATGATTATTGTGAATGATTGAACCATGATTTAAAATGAATGAATTGATGATTATGAAATAATTTGCATTGTAAGAATATCTAGAAGAACTCTAAGATATATCCATGATGACATTGGTTTCTAATACTATCTAGAAGACCTCTAAGATAGATTAGAAATAGGCCTTGCGGGTATAACTATAAATATTCGGTGGCCTGGGTAAAAACATACGTACGGGATCCACAAACCAAACTTGA